ATTAAATGTACAGATTAAGAGTACAAATTAGAAATACAATTATTGCACATTTTTATCATTAATTTGTATGAAAAATTCTCAAAATAAACTTTATTTTTAATACTAATATCATATAAAACAATTTAATTAGATGATTGAAAAAATTAAAGTTAACTTTTATTTTTTCATATAAATTAATAATGAAAAAGTGTAATAAATGCACCATTAATATGTGTTTTTAAGGCCACATAATAGAAAATTCTTTTTGTAAATAATTTATATAAAATTGACATTTTTTTAATACTATTATCATGTAAATGCTTTTAATCAACCAATTAATTAAATTAAGAGTTTCCAATGAATTGAATTTATATACATATTAAGGTGAAAATTTTGTCTTGATATTATTAATATTTTGATGAATTTTATGAGATTTTATATGTGTTTCATTTTTTGTGCAGAAAAAAACTTAAATGCATAATAATAAGAGTTTTTGAAATTAATTGAACATCTTTTGAAAGTTGAGGGACTGAACTGCAAGAAGAAAGAGGCTTCTTTGGGACCTAAAGGAATGAATCTTAAGTTTCAGGATCTAATGTCTCATCGTATAAAATATGGAGGATCAGATCTGCAACTTTACCATTGAGGAAATTGCAAAAAGAGGCTAGAAACCCGCCATGATGTGGTGTCAACACATAATCGGGGTGTCGACACTATAAGTCAAGCGACCAAAACTAGAGTTTCTGTTTCTGTTATGTGTGGACACATAATTCAGAGTGTTGATACTATGCGTTCAGCGTCTAAAATTCAAATTTCTTAATTTGTTCCAAGTTTTACTTTTTTTCTAATAGATTTTTTAAATTCTATAAATACCTATTCAAAAATCAATTTTAGGGTTTTGGAGAGGAGACTAAAAGAGATAACTATATCAAATAGGATAAGAAATTCGACTGTCATATAAATAATAAATACTTTAAAATTATATTAATCTAAATTTTATATTAGTTTATTATGGTGAAATCAAATGCCTTAAAATTTTAACTTTTGGTGTTAATAAAGTCAATTTCATTTTCTTTTAATTACTTTAGTTATTTAGTTTATTCAAATCATTTAATTTCAATTGTTCAAATAAAATTAGAATTAAATCATTTTGATTCTTAATTATTCTACAGTCTCTATGGGATGATACTCTATTTTCATTATTATATTATTTGAACTTACTAATACACTTGCTAAAATGGAATTAGCTTATCAAGTTTTTGGCGTCATTGTCAGGGATTGTATCGATTCGAATTAATATCAAAGTAAATTAATTCTAGTTTTAATTTGATTTTTTTCTTTTATTTGTTTTTCAAGTGTGCAAGCTAGTGCATGATTCGTTCTGAAAACAAAGAACTTGCACCATTTGATCCTGAGATAGATCGAACTTTTCACATTTTAAACAAAAGGAAGGAAGCTTTAGTTGTCAATCAACCTCATAAGATGGCAAAAGAAGCTGTTGCAAGAACCTTGAGAGTATGGATCACCTTCAATGGACAGTGTGGTCTCATGTATAAGAAAACCATCAGTACAAGCTAACAACTTTGAAATCAAGCCCACTTATATTCAGATGATTCAACAATCAGTCCAATTCAATGGATTGCTAAATGAAAATCCAAATGAACATATGACCAGATTTTTAGAAATTTGTGACACATTCAAGTATAATGGAGTTTTAGAAGATGCAAAAAGATTGAGACTTTTCTGTTTCTCTTTGAGGGATAAAGCAAAGAATTGGTTTTACTCTTTACCTTTGGACTTAATTACTACTTGGGAAGAGATGTCAAACAAATTTCTTGATAAGTATTTTCCTCCTTCTAAAACTGCCAAGATACGTAACGATATTACTATTTTCATACAGTTTGACACGGAGTCATTGTATGAGGCATGGGAGAGATACAAAGAGCTACCTAGAATGTGCCCACATCATGGTCTACCTATATGGTTACAGGTACAAACTTTTTACAATAGTTTATTCCCAAATACTTGTACCATGATTGATGCAGCTGCAGGTGGATCATTAACGAGTAAAATTCTTGAGAAAGTTTATAAGCTAATAAAGGAGATGACTTCAAATAATTATCAATGGAATTCTGAACGAATACCAATCAAAAGAAGTGTTGGAATACATGAAGTCGACACTCTCAAAGTCCTAATTGCTCAAGTGGAAGCCCTCCTTAAGAAATTCAATAAATTGAATGCTTCTGCTATGCATGTCTAAAATGTAACTTGTGATTGGTAGGTAAAAACTTATTTTTAACCCCTCATCTTACCAAATTTGAAGGTTTTAACCCCTTACCTTATATTATGACACTTTTAACCCCTCATCTATTAAAATCGAAGAAAATAACCCTTATTTTATAGTGACTATTAACTCTATTAACTGACAGTAAGTTTTTATCAACTAATAATTAATCAACAGAATTAACGAAATATTATAAAATTAGTTCTACTAACTTTATTAGATGAAAGAAGATTTTTGTAAACTAACAGTCAATTATTAGAGTTAACAGTCAGTTAATAGAACTAATAAAATGTTACAAAGTTAGGATTATTTTCTTCAATTTTAATAAGTGATGGGCTAAAAGTGTCATAATATAAGATGATGATTTAAAACCTACAAATCTAGTAAGGTGGAGGGCTAAAAATGTTATAATATAAGATGATGAGCTAAATCTTCAAACTTGGTAAAGTGAGGGACTAAAAGTAAGCTTTTGTCGTGATTGGTATGGAGGACATACAAGTACTGAATGTCAAGTAAGTAATTCCTTTGCACAATCACATGAGAGTGTTAACTTTGTTGGTAATTTTAACATGCAACAAAATAATCCATACTCCAACACTTACAATCCTTGTTGGAAAAATCATCCAAATTTGTCATAGAGCAACAATCAAAATGTAGTAAAGCAACCTCCAGGATTTCAGCAACCATCTGAAAAAGAAATCAGATTTGGAAGAGTTGCTAAAAAAGTTCATTGCTGTTAGTGAATCAAGGTTTCAAAGTCAAGAAGCAACAACCAAGAGCCTAGAAGCAATAGTCCAAAACCAAGGTGCATTAATACGGAATTTAGAGGTTCAAGTGAGTCAGTTGACAAATGTAATTTCAAGAAAACACCAAGGAGCTCTACCTAGCAATAAAGAGATAAATCCCAAAGAACAAGTAAATGCCATAACTTTGAGAAGTGAAAAACAAATTCAAAGAGGGCAATACATGAAAGGTGAATCAAAAGAGAAAAAGGGAGGAATTCCTAAGAAAGGAAAAGAAGTTCAAGAACCACCCCCCAAAGAAATCAAGCCATATGTGCCTCCCATTCCTTTTCCTCAGAGATTGAAGCAGCAGCAATACAATAAGGAATTTGGTAAATTTTTTGATATGCTTAAGAAATTGCACATTAACATTCCTTTTGTAGATGCAATAGCTCATATGCCAAATTATGCAAAATTCTTGAAGAGCATCTTGACAAATAAGAGGAAATTGGAAGACTTTGTAACGGTGACTTTAAATGAGTGTTCAGTAATTTTAAAATATAAGCTTCCTACTAAATTAAAAGATCCAAGGAGTTTCACCATTCCTTGCACTATTGAAAATCGTTATTTTGATAAAGTTTTATGTGATTTGGGAGCAAGTATTAACTTGATGTTTTTTTCTGTTTTTAGGAAATTAGTACTTGGAGAGCCAAAAACAGCCAATGTATCCCTTCAATTAGCAGATAGATCTATCAAGTATCCAAGGGGTATAGTTGAAGATGTTTTGGTAAAAGTAGATAAATTTATATTTCCTGTTGATTTCATAGTGTTGGATATGGAAGAAGACTACAAGGTCCCTCTTATTTTAGGTCGTCCTTTTCTTGCAACTAGTAGAGCATTAATAGATGTTCAAGAAGGAAAATTGATTCTTAGAGTACAAAAAGAACAGGTTATCTTTAATGTTTTTGAAGCTGTAAAATATCCTTCTAATGATATTGAGGAGTGTTTTGCAGCTGATACTAGTGACAAAATGGTTAATAAGGTTATGCAAGAAAAAAGTACCTAAAAATCCACATGAAAATTTTATTATGCAACAACAGGAAACTAAGGTCAAAGATGAAGCTATTAAGGAAGGACATTCTTCAGAGGCATCCCCACCAAGCCCAAAATCAAGAAGGCCAAAATTCAAAAATCCTCAAAAACTCAATTTGCGTAGTGCACTTTTTAACGAACAGCCTCAAAATCGATATGAAATCTATGAAAATGTGCAACTTTACCAAAAGAATGGTGGATGCAACAAATACAAAACCACCACTGAACTATGTAATCCTAGATAATGATTTGAGATAGTCAAGTTAATGACTATAAATTAAGCGCTTCTTGGGAGGCAACCTAAGCATTAATTTTTTTTTTCTCATTTTATTTTTCTTTAGTTTCTTTTTATTATTGATTTATTTTATTTTTTCTGGTTTTAGATTAGTGCACAAGTTTAGGGGAAGTTCAAGCCTCAAGATCAACTTTGTATATTCAAGTGCATAAAATCTAAGAAGTTTCCTTTCTCCTTTACTTATTTCTTTTAACATTGAGAACAATATTTGATTTAAGTTTGGGGGAAGAAGATATATTTTGATACTCATACTTGTATTAGATCACATTTATGTTGTTTGCATACTATTTTTTTTTTCTTTTTTGTTCTTCTTTTCTTTACAAAACAGTTTTTTTTTAGGAATTTGATCATTTAGTATCATAGAATTAAATATTCAGGAGTTAGAAATTTATGAGTGCCCTATTTGAAAAATATAAAATCTGAAAAATAACATCATTGTGATGAACTTTAAGATCATGAGCATTGTACTTCAATTGGGCAAAAGTTTGTAATAAGAAGTTTAGAAGGAAGACTTATTAACATCTAAAGAGGCACACACAAAAAAAAAAAAAAAAAAGAAGAAGAAGAGAAGAAAACAAAGCCAATACAAAAGAGCTGTTAGTTTCTACTTCAATGTTTTTAGTTGTTTAGTAACGGGGGGTTAGGCATGAGACCTATGTTAGTTTTCATGTCAAACGGTGACTTGAAATATAAGCATGTAGAGCACCCTAAGTTTATGACTTATGGAGTAACCAAGTACTTTCATCACAAATGTTAGTATTCGTGTCAAAAGACAAGTGATAACTTTGGGAAAAATATGTGTATAGCTTAAAAAAAAAAGTCAAATGTTTTGTGGCCTTTGTTACTTGAGTAAGTATGTTCTTAGGGGTGTCTTTTCACATAATGCCCTAAAGCCAACTAATTTGGGAGTCATTGATAGAAAACTCGTCACATGGATAACTTAAAAAGCCTAAGGAAACTTGACTAAAATAATAATAATAATAATAAGTGTTAAAGTATGAAAGTTTAAATTCGAAAACTTCTCATTATGACATTATGAATTTCCACACACACTCTAGGTGCTCATGAGCTAAATTTTTTGATAAATGGTGTGAAGAATAGAATAAAGTATTTAAAGATAAGGGAGTGAGTATATGAAACTCTTGAATATTTGAGACTTTATATCTAATTGAATTTTAATTCCTAAATTTTCTTTGCATGCATACCGTAGTTGCATTTTTGCATTGAGATTTTGTGAGTAGATCCACTGAAAACCCTCATGAGATACAACTCGTTCGCAATGGTGACCTAAGGGTTTAAAGAACTGTTGCACATGCTAAGTGCAATAATGATTCTTACGAAAGTGAGTTAAGTTTTATTTTGTCTTTTTATTTTGCTCGAGAACTAACAAAACTTAAGTTAACGGGAATTTAATTAGCTAAATTTATATACACATTTATGTGAAAATTTTACCTTAATATTATTAATATATGAATGAATTTTATGAGATTTTATGTAAGTTTCATTCTTTGTGTAGAAAAAGACTTGAATGCATAATAATAAGAGTTTTGGAAATTAATTGAACATCTTTTGAAAGTTGAGGGACTAAACTGCAAGAAAAAAGAGGCTTGTTTGGGACCTAAATCAATGAACCCTAAGTTTCAGAATCTAAGTGCTCATCGTACAAAATCTGGAGGATCAGATCTGCAATTTTACCATTGAGAAAATTGCAAAAAAAGACCAAAAGCCCGACACGGATGTGGTGCCAACACATAATCAGGGTGTCGACACTATGTGTCCAGCGACAAAAATTAGCCTCCGTTTCCTGTTATGTATAGGCATGTAATTCAGGGTGTTGGTACTATGCATTCAGAGTCCAAAATTCAAGTTTCTTATTTTATTCCAAGTTCTACTTTTCTAATAGGTTTCTTAAACTTTATAAATAACCATTCAAAAAATAATTTTAGGGCTTTAGAGAGAAGACCAAGAGAGACTGCTAAGAGGAATACAACATCAAAAGGAGACCAAGGCTCGAGAAGGAGTTAAATGTCGATTGAAGTCATAACTATGTACAATCTCTCGGCTTGGTGACCCCAAATTGCCAAAGATAGGTGACCCCAAATTGCCAAAGATAGAATCCCATACACGAAGACGGTTATCCTGAGATGTAGTAAGAATTTTGCCGCCTGACAGTGGAGAGAAATATGCAGAGTTAACTACACGTCTGTGCTCAAGGTTGTAAAGAGAAGATGCAGCTTGTTGTCGACGCATATCCCACATACGAGCCTGAGGGCAAAAGAACATACAATTATTAGAAGAGGTATACCAAGCAAATAACCAATAAGATGCATCCAGCCTGTGTTTCATTTCATCACAAATGACAATGAAAGGAAAATATGAAACCCCCATGCATGACTTTGGCAAAATCAAGGAATAAAAACGGTAGAGGCAATGGAATAAGAAATCTTACAAAATGATTTCCACAACTCAAGAGAAGATCTGGTTGAACAGGATTACAGTGTAGACCAACAACTTTGCTACCTTTCTTGTGTATCAAAATTGGTTCCCCAGTTTGGATATTTGAGCGAGAATCCACCCTAAGGATTCAATATAAAAAAAATTTCAAAACAAATTTTGAGCAAGACCATGATTGATTGCATTTTCCAATCAATATATTCACCTTTCTTTTCTGAGATAAGGCAATTTATCAATGAATTCACAATTAATTACTCCATTTTATAGGGCCAAAAGACATGTAAAACAAACAACCAATCTTGCAAGTTAGTCCATACAGAATCCAACAATAAGTGGGAAAAGTTGAAGGTCAACAAAGTAAGAGAAGGTGGATAAGAGCAAGCCATAAAGATGAAATGCATTTTTTTTCCTTGGCTTCCAATTAGGCATTATTTTCTTAGCTGCTTGTATGGTGGTATCATCTCCAACAACGCAGAAAATGGTTTGTAATTTAAAGAATGATTAAGAAGAATACTCACAAATAAAGAAAACCAAAGTTGTCAGCTACAAGCACAACACCCTTTTCTGAATTGATTTCCATGCCATAAAGCATCCTCCAAGTGCTTGGGCCCTGCATGTGGACTACAGATCAGTCAAGCTTCCTAACATAAAAATCAAGTCATATATTGTAAAGGTGCAGAGCAGTTTGAGGGGGGAAAAAATCAAAAAAATCAAGTTTGAGGAGATGCATCAATATCAGGCATATTTTTTGAACGAAAAAATAGTGAAGGTTTGATAGCCGAAGAAGGAAACCAGAAAAGAATTATAACCTGCCATCCATCTGGGTTAAGATTCATCAAAGATGATGACATTCCAGTTTCCAAGTCTCTGCAACTTATAGTTCCATCATTTGCAGGGTTGAACCTGTTGTAATGATGTGAGACTTCTTCTGATTAAAGAATCTAGGCAAAGAAAAGACTCTAAACAGAAGTAAAACATACACTCATGAACTTCTAATTTCTCAAATACATTTGTAAGGAAACAAACTTTGCCTCATATTATTGAGTACACAAGAGTGAATGTTTCCATAAACTGTCCTTTCATGCACTTTAGCAAAATCCCAGACTCCGAGTTGTCCTTTCTTTTACAATGTACAGAAAAAAAAATAGAGGAACAGGTGTCAACGATCTGAAACCAATCACACATTGGTCACATAAACTTAATCCCGATTAAAGCACATTATTCAGGAGAGACTGACCTTATCTCCAGATAAAAGGATATTATTGTTTGTAGGGTGGAATTCCAAACACGTTACCCATCTACTGTGGTATCTGATAGCTGCACAATGCACTTGATCTGGGATCACATAAGCTGGCTTGAACTATTGTACAAAAGAAAACAAATAAAAAATCATTTATCAAAGCAATGTCATAATATCCATTGGATATTAGAAAATGAATATATATTATACACAATTATTTAGAGGCCTACACGAGTGATTCTTGGTTTAAGTTGACGTCCAAATACAAATTCCACAGGGTTCTGGGTATCCCTATGGGGTGCTGGGATGACCCCATGTTCTGTAACAACTCTATGAGGACACGTCATTGTAGTGTGGCCTTCAATGCAGAAATGAAACCATAATGTAGAACATACAAGCAACAAACATGTACCAAAATAAAAATACCATGTAAACATAAGGGAGGGAAAAACAATTGAAAAAGCAATTAAATGGTAGACCATATAATGCCATAATTCATAAACTACTACCAGAGAACTTGGAAATAAAGCCAATTTTACCCAGTTCATCTATTTTAAAAAGCAAAAATGAACTCAACATTAGTCCTACACAATAAATTACATTCAATCATAGAATCCTATTCCCCAAATAAAAATATACCCTCCAACATGGAAGTGTAAGTAAAAGCAAATCCCACAACATCCCACCAAGAAAATGGGGGCAACTACCAAGTAGTAACTATATTTACCAGGCATTTTGCAGAGGAAGCAGGGTTTCATCGGGCAATCAATATACGTAGCGCCCTTAAAGCCCGCCTCGTGGCCCGCCTTTTTGCAAACCTAAATTGAAAAGAGAAATAAAAAATTAAAGGAAAATCAAACCCAGAAACCGAATTAGATTTCAAGAAGCAAACTTTAGAAAGCAAAAATAATGCACAGGGCTCAATTCGGATTACCTTGCAGACTTTCTTGAGACTGATAGTAATGGGTGCTTTCCCTTTCTTCTTGGCATCACTAGCCTCTTCGTTGGCCTTTCTATTTTCACTCTCCAAGACTGTTTCTTCTTCTTCTTCTTCTGATTGTGGCTCCTCTTCTCCCTCCTCTTCTTCGTCCGAGGAACTTCGCTCAGAGTCTGTGTCTCTCTCAATAAGAACATTCGGAAACGACGTTCTTCTAGTTTGCGGCGCCATGTACGGACATTCAGTTCCAGAAACAAACACCACAGAGAGACGATACGAGAACTGGAACTGGGTTTTGGGGGCGAGAAAATTGGAAAGCCGAGGAAACCGACGGACCTGCGACTTGGGGAACGATGCATTAAATTTACTAAATTGTCCTCCTAATGAGAACAAAACTAAACGTTGCCGTGTTTGGGAAGGGTTGGTTCGGCATTTCAATTCTAGTACATGGCGGGAGAAGACGTGGCTCATTCTCCACCGTTTAGAGTCTTCAGACTCTCTCTAACACGTGGTTCCTAATGCTCTGAAAACG